GAGGCAGACAGCACCTCCCCTCTCTACAACAGACCAGAGGTCAGCGAAGTCCTGTTTCTGTACAGCCCTTGATCCAAGAATGGTTTTTGTATTTTTAAAGGGTTGCTAAAAAAACAAACAACAAAATAAAGAAGAGTCAGCAACGGAGGTCCTATGTGGCCTTCAAAGTCTAACATTTAGATATTTACCATCTGGCCCTTTATAGAAAAAGTTTGCCAACCCCTATAATAGACCAGTGGTTCTCAAAGTGTGGTCCCTGGACCAACAGCGTCAGCATCTTGTGGGAACTTGTTACAAATTCAGATTCTCGGATCCCACCCATGAATTAGACACCCTAGAGGTAAGGCCCAGTAATCCCTGTTTTAACAAGCCCTCCTAGTGATTCTGATAGGTGCTGAAGTTTGAGAATCACTGCTGTAGGCCAATGGCTTAATCCATTGTAAAAGATCACCTGCCTCTCAATCGATCACCGAACAACTTCACAGGAAAGTGGAGATTCAGGATAGGTTGTGGCCAACTAGCAGAGGATGCCCTTAAGGGAATACTTTGTTACCTCAGCATGATCACTCCCATTGTTGACATTTACACAGTCCAGCCAATAGCAGTGGTTCATCCAGTACAAATGCTCTTCCCGGGCCCTACTAGGATTTGAAGTGGATCAATGCTCAGAGTCCTGGAGATGTAAGAGATCCTAAGAGGTTTTAAACTACTATAATGTTTTACGGTTGTATATTTGCTGCTTTTGAACATTATAACACCCAGTTAATGACTATTCTCTAGTTTTCTTTATCAGAATACTTTTGTATTTTTTCAATTTTTATCTGAATTTTAGGCACATTTATAATAACTATAATATACTTCCAAGATTTTCTCAACTGATTGATTAATAGGTCAGTTAGAATTTAGTCTTCTGTTCATGGGTAGCATTCTACCTTATGTTAATAAAAATTCATTTGTATAATGTTTAGAATTTTCAGTGTCTTTGATCTTCATAAGACTGTGGGTAGGGAGACCTTATCTTCATTTTTACAGAAAAGAAAATCAGGCCCAGAGTGACTTGCTCAGTCTCCCTATACATAGTTAGTAGCATGGGTCTTCTGATTCCATCATTCTGACCTGTATCCTGAATTTGGCTAGAAATTTTTTCATATTTGTTAACCTTAAAATACAGTTTCTCACCTGTTGGTAATTTCACCAGCCAACAAGTACAGGAGAGAAAAAGAAAGTGGAATTCACTGTTTTATGAGTAAGAACTGTATTCTCTTTATCTTGCAACATTTGAAATTTTTAAAAAGTGTATATGTGAAAGACAGTGTGAAGGTTGTGAGAGTTGAAAAGCTGAGAGAGAGAAGTCATCTTTACCCTGGAGCGTTCAGTACTGTCTGTCTCAGAGGTGAATCACTATTGCCATTTATCTTTAGTTCTTTCTCTGCCAAATTATGAAATTTATAATTTGTTTGGTGGCAATACAATCTATAAATATAAGACCAATTTACTGAGCAAAATTCATATAAGAAGAGGTAAATAGCAGAAAGAGGCAATGAACCATAAGTGTGCTGATAGTTCATTGTTTCTTAATGAAGCAGTGGCTGAAATGAGCTTTGAGCTATTTTGAAGAAATGTAAGGATGAGACTTAAAAATCCACCACTTGAGGGCCAGCCCCCGTAGCCTAGGGATCAAGTTCGGCACGCTCCACTTTGGTGGCCTGGGTTCAGTTCCTGGGCACAGACCTACATCACTTGTCTGTCAGTGGCCATGCTGTGGCGGTGGCTCACATACAAAAAGAGGAAGATTGACAACAGATGTTAGCCCAAGGCGAATCTTCTTCAACAACAACATAAGGAAAGAAAGAAAGAAGTAAAGAAATCAATCAGTCCACCACTTGGGATTCATGTTGGTTTGTGATGACATTTCCACTGGTCCACAGCAAGATGAATGTAATAAGGACAATGTACTATAGAGTGTATACATATGCATACATATCTGTGTATAAAACTAATCTATTGTCTCTGTGCTTTAATCATTGAGAGGTCAAGTTTTTCAAAATGATGTCCTGAGTCAGTGTGTGTGGTGGGGGGGGGGATGCGTGTGCACATACGTGTTTTGCTATCTTCAGATACCTTTTGAGTGTACATCTTTAGCTTCTTCCTGTAACATCTGGACTTACCAAAGGACTGGTTTCCTGAAAACTCCCTAACACTTGAGAGTGCAGTTGTCTGGGGGCTGTGTCTGAAAGCAGCACAGTTATTGTTGCCCTTGGCCTTGTGGTCCCAGGCCAAGTTTTCCTTACCTTGAATGCTCAGTTGAGTTTCTGTTTCTCTCTCTGTCTTGTCTCTCTCTCCACCTCTACACTCTTCAGTCCTCTTTGTCCTCTTCTGCCCTCACTTTTCTCCTGCCTCTGCCCCTCCTCCCCTACATGACCCCCTCCCCAATCCGCTCCTTCTCTGTCTTTTCCACCCTCTCTTTTTTCATTTCTATCTGTCATGGGGCAAATGTTTAACAACAGGCATTTCATATGTAAGTACATGTTCTATTAATAACAATAATTAATCATTTTAATATAAATGGAGATTTCTGATTTCAAAGATCTGCATCCATAAGAGCTATCTAAGAGTAGTTGGCTTTAAATTTCTTAGTAATGGGCACTGTCTTTTTTATGGTATTCCTAGTGGTAATACCAGCAGTGGTAGTAATAATGATAATAACAATTAATGTTTTATTATTATTATGGCTAATCTTTATCGAGTTTTTACCACTTGTTACATATTGTTCTAGGTAAGCGGTTCTCAAGAGTTTAGTCTGCTGACCCTTGAGGATGCCCAGGACTCTTTTCAGAAGTCTGTGAGGTCAAAACTATTTTCATAATAATACTAAGAAGCCATTTGCCTTTTTCACTGTGTTGACATTTGCACTGATTACACAGAAGCAATTGTGGGTAGAACTGCTGGCTCCTCAGCCCGAATCAAGGCTAGTGGTAATTGTGGTCTTCACTGTCGGCACTCTCAATAAACAAAAAAACCCACAAGCCAATTTTATTTTAGAAAGCCCCTGATGAAGCAGCAAATTTTATTAAATCTTGACCCTTGAGTATGTGTCTTTTTAGTGTTTTGTGTGACAAAATTGGAAAGGATGCATTAAACACTTCTGCCTGTTTGAGTTGCCAGCTGAATTAGTCTCATTTTCATGGACCACCCTTTTTATTTGAAAGAACAGCTGGCAGGTAAACTATGGTTATTCCGACTGGGTGTTTGGCAGAAATTGTTCTGGAAATGAAGTCAGCCTATACTTTCAAGGAAAACACTGTATTGGTCCAGTGGAGAGGACTGTCCAGTGGCCAAACTGGATGGTGCTTCTTGAGACAGGTGCTCCAAGGGGTCCTCTTGATGCTAAACAGTATAAACTCTTTTATATCCGACTTGTGTTTATAAATTATAATTAAAGAAAAATTGTACTTTGAATACTAATGAATTTTCAAATAGCAGATATAAAAAAACTTTCCAAAGTTTACCTACTACAGAACCACTCATACATGTATAAATTAGAAAAAATAGAGCCCAGATATTGAAAGCCATATCCATGGTAACACCCTACAAATGCATGATTTATGGCCAATCTTATATTTTATAGTGCTTTAAACTTGCAAGTAGTTTCATATATACATTTTTATCTGATCCTCACACAACCCTGTGATTATCTAAAGCAGCTTAAAGATAAGGAAATTGAGACTCAAGGAAGATCACTCTCTGAATGCACTTTATATTTTCCTGCCCTTTCAGCTGTTATCTCTGAGGGCCTGAAATAAGGCAGAGAAAATGGAGAGGAGAGAGAATCTATAAAACTTGGCAGCTACCTAGATGCAAAAAAAAAAAAAAATTAGAGATGAAGGAGCCAGGGAATTTCCTCAAGTTTTTTGTGTGGGCCCCTGAGAGGGTGGAGAGTACCATTAACCGAGAAAATAAAAATAGAGAAAGAACAGATTTAGTCAGCAAATGTTTCCCAAAGGCCTTTTCATTGGCACTACTATAATTTGCTTTGGGGGATAGACTGTGCTGTTACGGTCTCTATATGGGAAAATATAGCATGCATGCCGGTTACTTTGATTCAAGGGGGAAAGTGCTAAGTGCCTTAAGAGAGGCTTAGTTCAAGTCCTATAGCTGTTCACAGGAGGGAAGGAATTACTTCTGGGCTCAGGGAAAATTTTATGGAAGAGGAAGAATTTGAAAGGAATCTTGCAGAATGGTAGAATTTGGATGTGCGTGCAGAGGTGGTTGTTGAGGAGACAAGCAAAGTTCAGTTACAGAAAAATAGTGAGAGCAAGATGTGGAAGGAGGAATATCAGGTATAGAGGTTGGCAAGAACATAGCATGTGTATAGGTGGATAATGAGAAATTATTATTGGAAACAATTATTCCAATAAATTATGGGAAATGTTAACTGCTGCATACATGGTCAGTTTTTCACTTTGTATTTAGTTCATTTTTTTAAGTGATACTTGCCAAACAAATGTCTTTTTAAGTACAATTTAGTTCTTTCTTTACATGTAAAATTTCATTTTTCATTGACTAGGGTATGGATTTCAATTTCAGATAACATAATTGATCTTCCCAGATGCTGGTTTGTAGTTTTAGAGAGGGTCATGCAAAATATTTTACTATGGTCTTATTTTTTAAATCTACGGTTGCTTATTTATTTATTTATTTTTGTTTATTGCAGTAACATTGGTTTATGACATTGTATAAATTTCAGGTGTACATCATTATGCTTATATTTACGGTGGCTTGTTTAAAGTAAACCTGCAATCTTTAGATAACTTTATTCTCCTCACACTTAGAAATTCCAATCCTTTAAATTGCACTTTCATCTGAACTGGATCCCTGTGTCTGTCTTTAAATAGCTTAGCTTTGTTTTCCAGGTCTTTCTTCTCTTTTGGCATTAGTGTTTGTTATTATTCACTACAGAATTTGTCTGACTTGGATATTTGTTATTGTTTTTCCCCTAGATAAATCAGATAAATATGATCCACGTGATGTTGAAAGGCTACAACAAGATGATAACTGGGTTGAAAGTTACTTATCTTGGAGACATAATCTTATAGATGAAACACTGAAGATGCTTGATGAGAGTTTTCAGTGGAGGAAAGAAATGGCTGTCAACGGTAAGCTTTTGAGTTTAACCTTGACAGTATACTATCCTCTGCGTAAAAGTTACTGTTTTGCATTTATCTAATAGTATATTTGCAAATATTCTTGGCAATCATCATAAACACCAGAATATAATGTTTTATAAAGACCCAGTTACACTTTGAAAGAAGCATCTTATGAATAAGTCTTGAAAGTGGTATAATTCATAAGGAAATCAGATCACCAGGGAGCAGAATCACACTCAGATTCTTCACTCACAGCAGAGTCTCCTAATCTGTGCTTGTTTAGTTTGGTACCATTAAACAATAGCAACATAGCATCTTCACTACTAGGCCTGGAGATAAGGAGATGATATTATTTGCCTGTTTTTCTCAGTTGGTGCCTTATGTCGTTCTCTATCCCCAGAGTTCCTTGTGCTAATAGCTGCTCCATATAGAATTACTAAATGAATGGGGATCCCTAAAAAAAGCAGTCTTATCCCCAAGGATGCCTATGACAGTCTTCTCTTAACTTCTTGATTTCAAGGCCAAATTCTAGATTGAAATTTCCCCCCAAAATGAGAGTTTTAAATCTTAGAGGAGGTTTTGTAATAGTCTTCAAGTGTATGAAGAAGCCTTCATAGGAAAGGTTACCCATTATCTCTCTCCTCCTAAAGGTTTAACGGGAAGAAACTGTCATAACTACTGGTTTTGATGAAGTATAAAGAAGGATTTCCTGACCTTGAGGATTAAAACTCTGGAGTGACTGAGTCTGGAGACTTATTACAAAATAGTCAACAAATAAATTGAGGGAAGATACTCTTCCCCAGTCTTCATACTTGTAGAAGGAATCCATCAGAAGGAGAGTATTTAAAAAATAATTTGATGGGGCCGGCCTGGTGGCATAGCAGTTAAGTTCGCGTGCTCTGCTTCGGTGGCCCAGGGTTCTCGGGTTCGGATCCCAGGCATGGACTGACGCACCGCTTGTCAAGCCGTGCTGTGGTGGCGTCCCATGTAAAGTGGAGGAGGATGGGCACAGATGTTAGCCCAGGGCCAGTATTCCTCAGCAAGAAGAGGATTGGCAACGGATGTTAGCTCAGGGCTAATCTTCCTCACACACAAAAAATAATAATAATAATTTGATTGGAAATGTAAAATCTGTAGGTAATTTCAGCAAACAGTGATGCATTTATTAATCAAGCAAAGAAATATAAATCTGATATTTCTAAATCATTTAAGTACAGAATAAACTTATAAACTCAACAATAGGTTTTTCTTACATAAAATTGCTGGTTTATAGTGGCGAACAAGCAGAGATATGATAAAAGGTAGGTGGGAAAAGATAAATCTTTGCAAGTTCTCAGAGAACTACGTGAGTGAAACAAGAAGCCTTGGCATTTGCTGCCTTGCTCTGTTGGTTCTCGGCCTCACTAGAGACTGGGCAGGCCCTTTTCTGTTCCTCCTGCTAAAGGATCTAGCATTTTTCTTGAAATATTTTCCGCTTGCCCCAAGATTATAAAATGTATTAGACTCTACTGAATGTCAAACTTTGTAGAAAAATCGTATTTTACTAGAGAAACCATAGTGATTTTTTTCATCAATTCTGAGGCTGTAATATGGGTCTTTACTGGCATGTTCTCTTGAAATTGTCCAATAGTGATAATATTTGTTTGCAAGTGGTTATGTGAAACACAACTAGAACATGGAAATGTGTCCACATAGTAATGGCTGACATGTAAAGAGAAGTGGGTTTTTTCCATTTCTCTCATCCATGTCTTTATGTAGTTTGTTTACTTAGTAAGAAACACCATTTTTATTGCCAGAGGTTCTTTCCAGATGTTTGAATAAGCTGTATCTTTTTTTCTATCAGAAATACTATATGACATTAATCTTTACATTGTTAAGTTTTCTTTTTAAAAGGCCCCTAAGTTACAATTACTCATCAAAGTTTATCACTTTTTAGACCTGACTGAATCATCCATTCCCAGATGGTTATTGGAAATTGGTGGTATTTATCTCCATGGTTATGACAAAGAAGGCAACAAGTTGTGTAAGTATATTTACTTTATGTACTGGCTTTTCAAGATTTTGAGATGTAGTTATCTATCGCTACTGAATTAATGATAGGCAGAGCTTTCTCCATATGTACCACACATCAAGTTTCCAACAATTGAGAATTGTTAGGGCCATCTTGACCGAGTGTCAGATACTTAGTTGTACATACTGCTTGCATTATAATGAAGTAGGCAGTAAAGGCAAATGCCACATCCTGTAATACAGCCAAAATAATGTAATTCAGAGTCATCGTCATCTTTCTAATTTACTGATATTAAAATTCAACCTAGTATTTTTATGGAAAATCTTTTTGACAGTTGCTCACGGTTGCTAAATGGACTTTTTTCTTTTCAAGTTTCCCACAGTCGTCTCCTGTTAGTTTCTTCCTTAATCTGTGTGATAGCAGGAGGAACAGTCACAATCATCCCTGCTGTCCCGGGGACGCCCTGGTTACTCCTCCCCCTTGCCCCAAATCCAGCTTGGTTTGTACCAGGGCTGGGACTTGGCAGGAGTGTCAGAGCCCGGTCCTGAGCAGATATCCTGCCGAGGCAGTTTCCTGCACTGTCAGTGCCTGCCTTGCTGCCCTCTGTGTGGCCTGTGGTCTGTTCCTGTCCTAACAGTACTCTCTCAGAATTTTCCTCTTATTGCCGGCTCCTCCTTCTCAATAATCTTTTCTTGTTTCTCTTATTCCATCTGTCCTTTTCATGGGCTTTCCAGGCTTCATTCCTTTCTTGGACTCTTGCTTTCCAGCTGATACAGTCTCCTTGGGTGATCTCAAGTACCTTGGTACCTTCAGATCCCCCCCACAAACAGTGGTGACCCCACATCATCCTCAGACCACGTGCACATACATACCCAGCTACTCACTGAGTGGTGCCACTGGACTGATTGCCAGCTGCCTTCAACACAACACAGCTGAACCATGTCCCTCCGCCTGCCCTCCCATACTGCCTGGCTCAGGCCCACAACCATCGGCTCATTCCTCTGACATAGCTTCACTTTAGCCCCTTCTCTGTTTTCACCTGCACTTCCTCGGTTCAGTCCCTAACTACCCCCGTGCCCCGAGAGCCTTCCCAGGACATAGCCTGTCGGGTTTCCTTCTCTGCCCTGCTTCTTCCAGTCTCCCCTCTGTGCTGCTGCCAAGAGATGTTTTAAATAGGAAAATCAAACACCTTAGCATTTCACTCAGAGTCCTTCAAGCCCAGCCCTATCTCTCTATTTAGCTTCTCCTCTCACCACTTGTCTCATTTTGTCTTTGCTACCGCCACTTTGAACAGTTTGCCGTGCTCCACCCACATACATGACAACCGCTCAGGCCTCCGTCATGCCTCTGTCTGGGCTGTTCCTCTGGATGGCACATTTTCTCTAGTGCTTCACAGATCAGTGGCTTTTGTTTTTGTTAAGCACAGTGAAGAGTACTTTTGAGGTAATTGCCAAATATTGTCTGTTCACCTGTCTTTTCTTTTCCCCCTTACTTATTAGTGAAGTTTGTTTATTTCCTAAGGGGGAAAATCATAGTTTACCTTTCTGCTACTCTTTAAGGTTCCCAAGTACACGCCATTTCTTATTTCAAAGAAGGAAGAGATGTTTTTAATCTGAGAAACAAAGTGAATTGTAAATGAAGAAAAATGTGAAGGGAAAGGAATGATATAATATATGTATAAAATAATATTATAATGCTATAAATATTTTTCTTATTTTTGGATAAGTCTGGATCAGGGTGAAGTATCATGTAAAAGACCATAAAACCATATTGGACAAAAAGAAGCTTATTGCATTCTGGTTGGAACGTTATGCTAAAAGAGAAAATGGGAAACCTGTAACAGTGATGTTTGACCTGTCAGAAACTGGAATAAATAGCATAGTAAGCATTTTTCTTTGTATCATTGTTTGTCATGGTGTTTTCCCTCTCTCCTGTCCTCCCTGCCACCCCTCCCCCCAACCAAATATTGCTATAAAATTGAGCTAACCAAGTTATGTTTGGGGTTTATTTTTTTACCCCCTGCATTGTGAGTGAAGCCAAACATGGGGTGGGATTTGCAAGGAAATAAATTTATTTCAGTATTTGGCATCGAACCTGTAGATTCCCTAGAAATGTTCCTTGTCTAATACACAGGATATAGAGATAGGAAGTTGAGGCTGGCAGGGTCAGGTAGAGTGGTAACAGTGAACTTTTCTGTCAGAACCAATATCCTATAGCACCTAACCCTGTGCCTGGCAGAGTAATACACTCAATAAACGTTGAGTAAAGTAATGTGTGCTCTCTGTTGTACCATTAGATTCATACCACGTTTTGTGATTGAGAGATGTTCACTTGAGTTTTGCATCATCAGCAACTTTGTGATTTTGTTGGTTTTTTTTTGTTTGCTTGTTTGAATTTGTTTTTTTGTTTAATTTGGTTAGCTTTGGAAACTAGTTTCCTTCAGGTGATTTTGCCAAGCTTAAAAAATAAGTAAAACCTGCTAGTCTTTAATTTGGGCCCTTGTGACCTTAGTGGTAACTACAAACCCTTCAGCAGCATGGGGGTCTGTTGGCACATCTATTAGAACTATTGTCTCTTATATTCAAACCTTGGCTAATTCTGACAGCAGTGAAGTGGCATTCACACACCTGCCTGGGACAGTGTTGAAACCTTTTCGAAAATTCACTTGGCAAAGCATGTTAAGAACCTTAAAGTGTTCGTATTCATACTCTTTGTTTGGTAACTAACTTCTGGAAATCTATTCTAAAGGAATAATCCTGAGTCAGAAACAGCATTGTACACCAGAATGTTTTTTCAGGGTGTCATTTAAAATAATGAAAAATTAGAAAAAATGTAAATGTCAACACAGGGAAATAGTAAATTATAGTGTATCTAATTGATGGAGTATGTGTAGCTATGTAAAATGATATTTATAAAGAATTTGTAGTTATATTGGAGAATACCTTTTTTTTTAATGAATAATGAAAAAGGCGACAGGATTACATCATAGTGATACCTAGCCCCCAAAAAAGGAAACCTTAGACATTAAAAAAAACACAAAAAACAGGCTAGGGAGAGCTGCTAGAGACAACAAGAGTATTTTTGGATGGTGGAACCATAGATTTTTTTTTCATCTTTCTGTATCTCTATATTTTAAGAGTCCATTGCCCTGGATTTTTTCAATCTAGTTTCCATGTCAGTGAGTTTTAGATTACAGAGTAAATCCTTTTATACCCAAAATCTAAATCAAAATGCCTAGATAAATAAACATTCCATAAGAATAAATCATAATTCTGTTATCCTTTGTGTATGATAGTTTTCTAATTATTAATCCAGAATCATGCAAAATAAATGTTAATGTTTTTTATTGCCAAATATAGAGGCTAGGAATTGACTTGAGCTGATTCTTTTCAAGCTACTTATGTGCTATCACAGTATCTTTAATTTATAAATAAAGTTTATTTGCATTAATCATTATTAATGTTTTAAAATACCCGAATCTTACTGAATTATTTTTATATATGACCCTTTCATGATTCACAAAGGATTTAAGTTGTCTTATAAAGATGTATACAGAATTGCAAGGCAAAACATTTTTTAAATTATTTGTTAGAGTTGGGCCACTAATTTGGCTCTAAGCTTTCAGCTGCATGCCTGAAAGAAATGGAATCATTTAAAATTATTCAGTGGCCATACTTTAAAACCAGTGTCTTAGGAGAAGTGTATCCATTCCTGATACTTGAACTAGAGAGAAAAGTCTTTCATAGGTCCTCGAAGGGAGGACATTTTACAAGATAATAAACAGCATCCTTGAAAACATCCTCACGAAGTGTAGAGCAGTAAGTTTCATGGAGCTTTTTTATGTAGTACACAATATACATACCCCACTGGCATCCTGTCAGATCCACTTGAATTAGCAGTAACTTGGGATTTTACAAGCAAGGCTCTTCAATTAAATAAAAGATGAAAATAAGAATATTAGGTAAAGACTTTTTTAGACAAAGTCTCTGGGGGCCACAGATCGTATACTAGGTAACCAAATTTTTATATAACTAGTTATTTTGAGGTATTTCTTTGACTCTTACTTAACTCCAAATTATTAAACTGTATGTGCAGTAGATGTAATGGTTAGTTATAAAGGTATTGTTATATGCCAGTATTTATCTGATAATAAATACATTTACTAGAGTTAAAGATGCTGCAACTCACATGCCAGGAATGACTTTATAGACTCTCATCTATAGGACAATCTCCCTTTCAGTAATTGATGGATGTAAGTTTTCCTGGTTATAGCTTTCATCCTACAGTCCTTACAAGATGGCTGATCCAGATTAGTAAGTCAGCCTGTGGCCATGGAATAGCATGGAATGAAATGATCCATGTGAATAGTAACCCTAATAACCTAATTTCATGTTACTGTGTGTTCAAGGCAGTAGAACCAACAGACAGCTATGTTTATAAAGTCTCCCAGAAATTGGAGTCAATGAACAACACTTGAATATAAACTAAAAAATTCTAATTCTACTTCTAGGTCCCTAAATAAGGGGAAAGAAGCTAGAAGTGAAGTAGATACAGCAGGCCAATATGATCAGATTAACTATTGTGTAAAAGATTAATAAAATATATTTTATTGAAGGTATTATGAGGAATAGAAATTAGATTTAAAAAGAAAATAGAATTTATATGCATATGTATTATCATTCCAAGTAGTCAGGTTGTAAACTGTATATTTGTTTTAGTAATTCTTTAATTTTTCAGCATATTTTTAGAATTTCTCTATGGGGATTGTTTTTAGATCCATTTTATAATGCCCTGTTACCTTTGCAGCCTGAAGTATCCAACTAGTTTGAAGTAACATGAATCATGTTTAAGCATCTGATTTCTTTAACTCAATTTTAGGACTGATTACTGTAAGTAGCTTAATTACTTAAAACCTTAATCCCTGGGAATACAGATATTTATATATGAGCTTATTTTTTAAAGAATTTAATAATTGTCTCATTTGTATTTAATAATTTATATCACCTTTAGAAATGTGCAATTTAAAACTCTCTAATGTGGACAGTCTTAAAGATTTAAATGTATAATCTTTATTTTAGGACATGGACTTTGTACGCTTTATCATCAACTGCTTTAAGGTTTATTACCCTAAATACCTCTGTAAGTAACTTACCTCTTTATAAAAATATAATATAAAGAAACTAGACAGTGTCTGAGAATCGTGGAGCTTTATGTTGTTATAGACTCTAATACCTCAAACATTGTTTTCTGATGAAGACCTTAAATGTGTTCATAGAAGTTTAAGTACATATCCTAGTAGGTACAGGGGAAATTTTTCATAAATAATCATTGTCCTTTACACTTAGTTTTAAGAGTTTAAGTTCTAAACTATATGTATGGCATCCTATAACACATGCACAGGGACATAAAAACACACATTTATTTCCAAGATTATCCCATTTTTACTCATCTTTCAATTGAGGAGTTCATTTAAAATAATATTTATTATATGCAACTACTTACATACAAGAAACAGATAAGCAATATTGATAAAGTATACTGTGTGATAAGCAATAATCATACATAATGTACACTGTGTTCCTAATTGCTATTTAAAAATTGTCATTAAGAAAACACTTGACTAGAGTGCACTAAATTTGAATCTGCCATTTGGAGTTTATTTTTAATTGTGATTCTTCCATGAATTACCCGAATAAAGAACTCTTAAATCTTATGTATTCATTTTTGACTTGTTGGATTTATATGACGGTTTCCCCCTGGGGAAATCAAGATGCCATCGCACATAAACAGTCAAATATTTTTAACCTCAATGGGTTGAAAGTGAAAATACAGACCAGAGACAACAGGGACATCAGAAAATGGAAACTCACAGGTTTGCCTGGGCACACCCCTGGCAAATACCACAGTGAGGGTCTTTGGGACTCGTGACTCAGATGACACTAAACGCTAAAATCCCTAAATCATGTTACTTTGGCATGCTTTCACGTTATTATTAGTGTGAAGTGAGGAACAGACAAAAAGCATGGTGGATATTAAGGATCAGTTTCATCCCTAGTCGTGTGCTCTCACGTCTTCAGAAAGAGTATTCATGAACATTTTTAGGTGTAGAGAATGTCTGATTTAGGGAACCTATAGGACCTGCTGTTCCTTTTGAATTCTTCCTGGATCTAGCATGTACCCTGATTCATTAAGGCTTGCTGAGCAGTGCCAGTCAGTGGTCAGTAGGGAATCACTACCCTGTATTATTAGCTTATTTCTCTTATGTTCAAAATGAAAATAAAATATCCACTTGTTTATTGAAATATCTAAAAGAGTTTGTGAAGAGCCGTTTATAAATAGTATAAATATCATTATTACCTTATAAAACACATCCAAGATTCTTTTGAGAAAACTATTGTAAATTCATGGGTCTATATAAAGATGAATTGGAACATTATTCGTTCCAATTAACTAGAGATAATGTATATAGTCTACCTACATAATCTAGTTTTGCAGACATTGAGTTTTGTAGAATTTTAAATTATGCTTCAAAATCTGTCATAAAATATAACTATTATTTCTTAAAATCTTGAGTCCAAATCCTTTTAGGTGTATCCCAGATGAAGACTGAGGTGTTAAGCGCCAGGGTACCTCTTTGCACATAACTTGTTCCTTACATGTACTTTACTTGTCCTACATTAATATAATTATTCTAGGAGGTTCTCCGTCCAGAGAAGAACGAAATTACATTTTGATTCATCTGGAATAGAAGAATGAACTGGATATCAAAAATTCTCTTTGTGGTTTCTGGTTCTTTTCTCACGCTTGTTAATATGGCTGTTTAATATCTTCATCTAAGTATGCAAATAATACTTGTGTATACTTTGGAATTATTGGCTTCCTGGGGCTCATAATATTAAGGAAAGTAGAAATAGTTTTTGTTTCTTTAAACATAATGATTTATTAAAAATAGGGGGGGCAACTATGAGAATGGTTTAACAATATAATCTTTAGAAAATTATAATTCAAACCATAAATTAGGCATTGAAATTGTTTTAAAGTTCAGTGGACTTCAGCAGTAATATGACATACCATATCCAAAGACTCTACTAACCCACTTAACTATTTTTTTATACCTTTTTGCAAACAACAAAAGCAATAAATGAATAAAAGAACAGGCAATTTGCAAAAGGACAGTAATAGTGCATTGTTCATTTCCCACAAGCTGTCCTCCTGGGTGGGCCCCTCACAATTGTGAAAAGTTAGTTTGATTCTAGCACCACGCGCACTTCATTGAATTAGAACTGAGTCAACTAGCTGAGTTTTTAGTTAACATTTAGATCACCAGATTTTCTAGGCCAGGTATAATTGATATTACTATAGTGGTACTAAGTCACATTCAATGAATTTTTTTTTTCATTTTTCAGCAAAAATGGTGATCTTTGATATGCCTTGGATAATGAATGGTGAGTATATTACTTATACTTTCCTGAAATAAAATATCTGATTTCCTTTGCCAACTTAGCCATATTTCTATGGTTGTTTAAAAAAATGTTTCTGTTGTGCTTGGTGTGTACTCTTAAGAGACTGGAGCTAGAACACTCAAAGGCTGTTCCTAAGCAAACTGGGCTAACATTCTACCCCCAGGCTCTGGGGACACCCATTAGTCTTCTCTAAAAACAGCCTCAGGATGTTCAACCATTCAGGTAAAACTATGGTCAGAAGCCTCAGTTTGTCACCCACATATGGGATATATCACAGAACACAGGCCTTGGTAGGTTTTCTCATGGGCTTCAGGTATTGAGGAAGAAGGTGGGATGAATCTGAAATTTACTCCAAATCTCTGTAGTCACATAACTCTTACAACAGTCATTGTATATTTTTGGTAAAAAAAAAAAATTTTTAAAAACATTGAAAAACACCTTTTCAACTTAAACATGATTATAAATTTAGTGTTATTTTCAGAATGTTCATTTTCATTTGTGTTTGCCAAAGTCAGTTGTTACATAGAAAGCAATAGAGAAAACCAACAAAACCAAAACTTGGTTCTTTGAAAAGTTCATTAAAATTGACAAAACTTTAGCTAAACTGATGAAGAAAAAAAGAAAGACTCAAATAATTAAAATCAGGAGTGAAAGAAGAGACATCACTACTGACCTTACAGAAATGAAAAGGATTATAAGGGAATACTATGAACAATTGTTTGCCAAGAAATTAGATAACGTAGATGAAATGGACAAATTCCTAGAAAGACACAAACTGCTGAAATGGATTCAAGAAGAATCTGAATAGAAGTATAACAAAAGAAGTTGAATTAGTAATCCAAAAATTTCTCATAAAGGAAAGCCCAGGCCCAAATGGCTTCACTGGTAAAGTCTACCAAACATATAAAGAAGAATCAACACCAATCCTTTGCAAACTCTTCCAAAAAATAGAAGGGACACTTCCCAACTCATTTTATGAAGCAAGTATATCCCTAATAACAAACATCACAAGAAAAGAAAACTATAAACTGGTATCACTTATGAATATAGATGGACCAACCCTCAATAAAGTACTAACAAACTGAATCTAACAGCATATAAAAAGGATTATACACCATGACAAAGTAGGATTTATCTTAGGAATGCAAAGTTGGTTCAGCCTATGAAAATCAGCCAGTGTTATCCAACATGTTAATAGACTAAAGGAAAAAATCATATGATCATCTCAGTAGACACAGAAAAAGCATTTGATAAAATTCAGTACTATCATGATAAAAGCACTCAAGAAACTAGGACTAGAAGGTGCAAAGAGTTGGAACAGCTTTAAAATTAGGGGACCACAGTAGTCCACACAAGACTACCCTCACTTCTGACACCAACTGTAAGTTCAAGAGGTTCCCAAAACCACCCTCAGTTTCACTAGAATGACTCAAAGAACTCACTGAAAGCTATTATATTCAGTTACCGTTTGTTACAGGGAAAGGATTCAAATTAAAATCAGCCAAGGGAAGAAAAACATAGGGCGGAATTCAGGGAAGTACCAAATGTGGAGCACATTACTTTTCCAACATCAGTAGATGACAGTACCCATAGAGTATTGTCAACCAGGGAAGCCCACCCAAATCGTGTTCAGAGTTTCTACTGGGGCTTTGTTATGTAGGCCTGACTGATTTATCACATGGTTGATCTCAGGCTCCAGTCTCTCCAGATGTCTACTGATACTGCATGACCCAAAGCCCGCACCCTAAATCATATTGTTCCAGTGTGACCCAAGGCCCCCTGGCAAACAAAGGCACTCCTATTAGGCATGAAGATTACCTCCCAGAAGCTGAGGGCAAAGGCTAGACCTTTCTTCACTACACAGAAGGGAACTTCCTCAGTCTGATAAAGGGAATCTATGTAAAACCTGCATCTATGAAAACCTGCAACTAATAGCAGTGAAAGAATGAGTGTTTTCCCTCTGAGATGAGGAACAAGACAAGGTTGTCTTTCTCACCACCTATGTTGCCAGGGCACTTAGGCAAGAAATAGAAATAAAAGGCATCCAGATTGGAAAAGAAGATGTAATACTATCTATATTTGCAGGTGACATAGTTGTCTATATGGAAAATTTTAAGGAATACACACACAAAAAAAACCTATTAGAACTAATAAACAAGTTCAGCGAAGTGGCAGGATACAAAGTCAATACACAAAATCAATTGTATTTCTATACACTGGCAATGAGTAATCCAAAAAATGAAAATAAGAAAACAATTCCATTTGTAATAGCATCACAAAGAATAAAATACTTAGAAATAAAATTAGTAAAAGAAGTTCAAGACTCATACCCGGAAACCTCAAAACACCATTGAAGGAAATTCAAGACTTAGGTAAATAGGCATCTCTTGTTTGTGGATTGGAAGACCTAATGTTAAGATGGCAGTACTTCCTGAATTGATGTACAGATTCAATGCAGTCCTTGTTAAAATCCCAGCTGCCTTTTTTACAGAAATTGACAAGCTCTTCCTTAAATTCATATGGAAATGCAAGAGGCCCAGAGTAGTTAAAATAGTCTTGAAAAAGAACATAAAATTGGAGGACTCACACTTCTTGATTTCAAGATCTCACTACAAAGCTATAGTAATTAAGACATGGTACGGACGTAAGGATAGGCGTATAGATCAACAAAATAGAATTGAGAGTCCAGAAATAAACCCTAACATTTATGGTTAATAGATTTTTTGACAATGGTGCCAAGACAATTCAGTGGAGAAAGACTAGTCCTTTTAATAAATGGTACTGGGACAATATCCACATTCAAGTGAATGAAGTTGGACCTCTACCTCCCATCATATATAAAAATTAACTCAAAATGGATCAGAGACCTAAATGTAAGAGTTGAAACTATAAAACGCTTAGAATAAACCATGGGAGTACATCTTGGTGACCTTGGATTAGGCAGTGGTTTCTTAGATATAACACCAAAAAAGCACAAGCAACAAAAGAAAAAAAATAGATACATTGGGCTTCATTAAAACTTTTGCACTTCAAAGGACACAGTCAAGGTGAAAAAACTCTCAGAATGGAAGAAACTATTTACAAATCATACATCTGATAAGGAACTTTGGGCCATTTGACTTTTTATTGTTGCATTCTAAAAGTTATTTATATATTCTAGACCTATTAAAAACGGCAAAAGATTTGAATAGACATTTCTCCAAAGAAGATGTGTAAATGGGCAATAAACACATAAAAATATGCCCAACATCATTAGTCATTAGAGAAATGCAAGTCAAAATCAAATAAGATACTACTTCACATCCACTAGGATGGTGATAATCAAAAAGACAGTAACAAGTGTTGTCAAGGATGTGGAGAAATTGGAACCCTCATACGCTACTGGTGAGAATGTAAAATGGTGCAGCCACTGTGGAAAAGTTTGGCAGTTGCTCAAAAAGTTAAATGTAGAATTACCATATGACCCAGCAATTCTACACCTAGGTATATCTTCAAGATAATTGAAAGCATATGTCTACACAAAAATTTGTACACAAATGTTTATAGCAGCATTATTCATAATATTGAAAAGTGGAAACAACCAGAATGTTCATCAACTGATAGATAATCTAAATTGTATATCCATAAAATGGAAAATTATTCAGCCATAAAAAGGAATACTGATACACGCTACATCATAGATGAACCTTGAAAACATGCTGAGTGAATAAAGCTTGTAGAAAAAAAGCACGTATTGTATAATTCCATTTATATGAAATGTCCAAAATAGGCAAATCCATAAAGACAGAAAGTAGATTAGTGGTTTCCAGGGAATGGGAGAAGGGGAGATAAGGAGAGATTGCTAGTGGGTGAGGGTTTCTTTTTGGTGAGATGAAAATGTTCTAAAATTAGACAGTGGTAATGATTGCACAACTCTGTGAATATACTCAAAACCATTGATGTGTGTACTTTAAAAGGGTGAATTTTATGGTATGTAAATTATGTCTCAATAAACGTGTTATAAAAAATCAGATTTAGCACTTTAGTTAATTCATGTAGCGTAGCTTCAAAACACATCAACTCTCAGACTTTTTAAATTGAAATTAATGAAAATGTAAATGTTATGTAAAAAATTTTTAAGCATAATTAGCCACAGTAAAAATGCGGTTTTCTGAACTACTGTTTAATGTTTATCATGCTGTTTTATTTATTGATTTTTTTTTCATTGACGCTTTTGCATATTTAATGAAGGAATCCTCTTTTAATTTCTTTAAAATGTGTTTAGAATATCACGATGGAAATGAGGTTTAAAAAATTAAGTATAAATCAGAATGGCATGACAGAACAAGATTGTAATTACTAAATAGCTGTGTTTGATAACACTTGATTCTTGCAGATTCCATAAGTTCCTCACAGTTACGTAAGCTGCAGGGCTTGGGAGAAAGGCAGAGAAGTTTAGGGTTGGCATGCAAGTCTGGGTCCGGCTCAGATTGAAGGGTTTATCAGAACTGTAAGGCAGATGACTCTATTGTGTAGTTATTCCCTGAATCACTATGCTATCTGATTCAGTGTCTGGAAATCTTAGTAGTTGGGATCATTGATGGATTTGTGCAGAGGCTAAAACCCTGATAAGTTTATTAATGAACTTCAGGGTAATTTAATCTTCCTGAATGTTCATGGAACATTTGAAACCCATAAGGGACAATCACAATGTAAATGCCTACAGGAATTAGAGAATGTTAATGACCTATCATGCCATGGAAAGATACATATTAACAAACTTTAGCACAGACTAATTTCAGAAGACGTGGGTTAGCACGTAGTAAATTAATTGAGAAAGAGAATGAAAAGAATTTAATGAAGTGACTTTTTTTCTTCAGCTGCTTTCAAAATTGTGAAAACCTGGCTTGGTCCAGAAGCAGTGAGTTTGTTGAAGTTTACAAGTAAAAATGACATCCAAGACTATGTCAGTGTAGAATACCTGCCTCCCCACATGGGTGGAACTGTAAGTATAATACTTGAAACTTGTTTCTAAAATAAGACTGGATCACAGCACATTAGGCTATATTCTTTCCTCAAGGAAAAAGGAAAGCAAAATCTTAACATCCAAAGAAAGATCATAGATACCCCCCAAATAGAAAGCAGCGTTACAGGGGCTGGCCCGGCCGTGTAGCAGTTAAGTTCACACGTTCCGCTTCAGCGGCCCCGGGTTCACCGGTTTGGATCCTGGGCATAGACCTACTCACCGTTCATCAAGCCATGCCCAGGCAGCGTCCCACATAGAGGAGCTATAACTCTACAACTATGATATACAACTATGTACTGGGGCTTTGGGGAGAACAAAGAAAAAGAGGAAGATTGGCAACAGATATTAGTGCAGGGCCACTCTTCCTCAAAAAAAAAAAAAAAGAAAACAAAGCAGTGTTACATTTTTTATTTAAGTTTTCAAGTTGTTAAATTTTTATTTTTTAATAGGTTATGTATTTACACAGTTCTAAACTGAAAAGTATTCAGAAACAAGTATTCAGTAAAAAATCTTTCTATTGCTATCCCAACCACACTATTCCCCTCCCCAGTTCCATTTCTCATATTTATTTCCAGGAATCTGTATTGCCTATATAAGCAACTTTAGTATATGTTATATACATAAGCAAATATAGTGTATATGTCATTCTTTCTCCCTCCCATCTCTTCTAAACAAATAGTGTATTTCTACACTATCGTGCATAGTACTTTTTTCTTCACAACATGTCTTAGAGATCATTCTAAATCAGTATGTGACAAGCTGTCTTACTCTTGTTTATGGCTACATAGTATTCCAGTGTCTAGAGATCAACTATAAATTTTTTAATTAATAACCATAAGTTATTTAATTTCCTTTTGATATGTCTTTAATTTGCTTCCAGTTGTTTACTCTTGAACAGTCTCTTTAATTTAAAAGATAATGTATACTCTCAAGATTTTTTTGAAATGATTTTACTACTTACAAATAAGAGACCAGGAGTAAGTAGATATGTGTTAAATTTTTTTTTTAGTATTTTTTTTTCCCCAAAGCCCCAGTAGATAGTTGTATGTCACAGTTGCACAGCCTTCTAGTTGCTGTATGTGGGACGTGGCCTCAGCATGGCCGGAGAAGCAGTGCGTCGGTACGTGCCCGGGATCTGAACCCAGGCTGCCAGTAGCGGAGCACGCGCACTTAACCGCTAAGCCACAGGGCCGGCCGATATGTGTTAAATTTTTAATACTACATAACAATGAAACATATTGTGGTAATCACTTTTTTTTATAAACTGTGAAACCTATGAATTTGGTATGCTTTGGGTTAACTTTATTGATAATACTTCAATTATTTGATTTTTACAATCTACTTTGTATACTGCCTACTTGGCAAAATTGTATTCAGCCAGAACCAAGGGACTAGCAAGATGAAAAGTTTTATGTCCTTTTGTTTGTTTTCTTTGACTAGAAAAAACTTGAACCAATATTTTTAATTTGAAATTTGCTGCTTTTCTATTCTGAGGCTTTATATTTCACATTTTAACCTAGAAAAACAGAGTATGGTTCATTTCAAGTACTACCCTTAGTTAAAATAGCAATTTAATTGAGTCATCATTTATAATAATTTGCCTATAGAATTATTGTATCTTAAAATTAATAGCATTTAGTGCAAGGTATTTTTATTTTTGGGGGTAGAAAAGGTTATTTCCCTTCTCTGTTGTTAGTGGTATATTTCTTCAGGATTGTGGTCAAAATTGTAGTAGGACTACTATTCTTTAATATAAATTTTTTTTCCCAAAGGTAATACATACACGTGATTTATTTTTTTCGAAGCAAACAATACCAAAGACTGAAAAGTACAACAGTACAGTGAAAAGTACATCTCCCTCCCCAGGTCACTGCCCACTGTCACTCCCTAAAGGCACTCACTGCTTCCAAGTTTTATTCTATCATTTTTTTTACATAATAATCACATACCATATCTATTGTTCTGTTGTGGTTCTTTTTGCACATCATTTATTTTTAGGTCATACCACATTGATTCATAGAGGTCTACCTGATTTTTTAAACTGTTGCAGAATATTCTGTTGTGTGGATATAACATAATGTGTATTTTAATCAGTTCTCTTTTGAAGGACCATTAGTTGTTTTTTAATCTTTTGCCATTACTAATAGTGCTGCAGTGAATATTCTTGTAAATAACTTGGTATACAGGTGCAGCAGTATACATAGAAGATAAACTCCTAGAATTAAAATCATTAGGTCAATGGGTATATTTAGTTTAAATTTTGATAGCTATTGCCAATTTCCCTCTAAAGAGATTGTGCCCATTTACCAATAATGTGTGAGAATGCTTGAACCACATCCTTGCCAACACCACATATTCTCATTTTTATAATCTTTGCCAGTCTCAGGTAAAAAATATTGTGGTTTTAATTTGTATTTCTTTTATTGTAAGTGATGTTGAGCATATTTTTTATGATTTAAAAGGCAGTCTGTTCTTTTTCTATGAACTCTGTGTCATTCCTTTATTTCTTATCCTGTTGGGTTATTGCTCTTTTCTTGTTGATTTGTATATATTAACAAAAGCTGTCTTTCTAACGTGTGCGGTACATGTTTTCCCAGTTGTGGTCTTTAAAAAAAAAGACTTTGGTTTTTAAGATTTTTGGGGGGGAGTTGAGGGCATTGGTGGTTGGTTGGTTGATTGGTTGGGTTTTGTTTCTTGCCATTCAGAAATGTTTCATTTTAGTGTGCTCAATTTTTATCAGTATTTTCATGCCTTCTATGTTTTTGCTATGCTTAGAAAGGCCTTCCCTACTTAGGTTTTGTGTTTTTTTTTTTTAATCTTCCTATGTGTTGTTCTAGAGCTTATATGGTTTTTAAAAAATACACGCACACATACATACACATACACACACACAAATTTAAAGCTTTTATTCATCTGAGAATTTCTTTTACAGATAACTGGCCAGTTGTCTCACACCACTTACTGCTCTTTTCCTTTCTGGTTTGAAATGTTTTTTTTGTTTGTTTGTTTTAAATTTCACTATTTTCTTGGCCTGAGGAATGGATTTTAACTTTACTAAAAGAAGTATTTCTCTACCCATCTCTTAGCAGGCTGATACAGAATTCTTTTCTTTCAGGATCCTTTCAAATATAGTTATCCACCACTAGTAGATGATGACTTCCAGACACCATTGTGTGAAAATGGTCCTATTGCAAGTGAGGATGAAACTTCAAGTAAAGAAGATATAGAAAGTGATGGCAAAGAAACCTTGGAAACAATTTCTAATGAAGAACAAACACCTCTTCTAAAAAAGGTAATTTTAACAAAAAAATGAAATCAAGTCAAAAGCTGTGGCCTAGTCCCAATCCTACCACTAGCTGGCTATGTGATTTTGCGTGATTCACTTCACTTGCTGTCCTTCCACATCTTTGTTTGTAAAAAGATGAAGGATGGCACTAGCTGATCAGTATGGCTGATATAGTATATAAAAGGCTGATTCTGGGGCCGGCCTGGTGGCTCGCGCGTTCCGCTTTGGCAGCCTGGGGTTCGCCAGTTCAGATCCTGGGCGGGGACCTACTCACCACTCATCAAGCCATGTGGAGGTGGCACCCCACATAGAGGAGCTAAAACTATGCCACTATGATACACAACTTTGTGCTGGGGCTTTGGGGAGAAAAAAGGAAAAAAAAGGTAGGAAGATTGGCAACAGATGTTAGCACAGGGCCAATCTTCCTCAAAAAAAAAATATATATATATATATATCTTAAAGAAAAAAAGCTCATTCCATGCTTTTGTATAAAAATTGGCAAAATGCACCTGGATGGAATTGTTTTATCTAAAATATTTTTTATTTATCTAAAATAAAAAGTAATTAATTTAAAATTTTACCTTGATCTACCTCCTCTATTTCGTTTTTTAAAGAGCACTTAGTTATCTTTTTATGAATCATCAGAGGCTTGATAGAGGGATAAATAAATTATAATTTAGAACAAATTTAAAGACTCTTAAGGGAAGGACCATGTTATATTTTCTGTGGTGACCTATTTATAGTAAGCACTTAAATATATGGTACCGGTCATGTTAATGTAGGTTAAATGTATAATTTAAATATAATAAACCTACGTCAAAGGTTATAATTTGGGTTGGATCACTATAATGTTTACTTTTTGACCTAATGAACTGCCCGTCAGTGTAAAACTAAATCCTTTATCTTTTCTTTCTTTCTTTTTTTTTTTTTTTTGTTTTTAGATTAACCTACCTGAATCTACTTCCAAAGCGGAGGAACATGAAAAAGTTGATTCCAAAATGAAAGCTTTCAAGAAACCATTGAGTGTGTTTAAAGGGCCCTTATTACACATCAGGTAATAGTTGAGGATTTTATTAGCTGTGCTCTTATAACATATCTTGATCATCTTAAGTGAATTGCAAAATTAAGAAGACTTCTGTACTGTTTTGAAACTGTGGAAATACAAAATTAAGGGTTATCTGAGACTCACTTTGGTTTCCAGACATAGTGGATATTTTTAGCTATCTTTGTGTTATTTAGTCCATTGAGTGTGTTTAAAGGGCCCTCATCCCACGTCTGGTAATAAAAGTGAGTATTCATATATTAACAATAAATCTGAATGACATGTATTTTTCTCATTTTACTAATACTGTTTGACTTGCACAAGTTTGAGAATGCCAGAAACAACATTGAAGTAGGCATTTATCTATTTGACCTTCCAAAAGCTAAAGCTGAACCAGAAAAATGGATTTTTTTACCAAAGCCAAATTTTAGCACATCTGTAGTTTTGTTTTTAGATTATTCGATCCAAAAGATTCAGGATTATTTCTTGTATCATTATGTAAAGACCTTTCTCACTAATGATGCTTTTGGTTGGTAAATCTATATAGCTTTATGTTAATATTGCTATACCAACTTTATTTAGTGATGACCTAATATATCATTTTCTATCCCTTTACTTGAAACCTTTCCATTTAACTGTTTTAGGTATGACTCTTAGGAACAATCGGCCAGAGTTTTAAAAAATCTAACCTGAGATTTTCTATTAATTGACAAGATTGGTTTGTTTACATATATTTTCATTACTTATGTTTGGATTTATCTCCACCATCTGTGTGTGTATGAGTGTGTGAGGGGGGAGGGAGGGAAACATGCATGCATGTTCTGTTTTCCATTGCCATTTTCCCCCTTTGGAGTTTTTTTGTTTATTTTTTTCCCACTTTTCCCTCTACTGGTTTGGAAGTTACACACTGTTTTTTCACTGGACGCCTGTCAAAACCGTAGGTCCTGGCTTATAAAGGTCAAGGTCTAGCTGGAAGAGCCGGCTAGGGAGAAAGCCATAGTGGAACAGGGTGGCTTCTAGGCCTGCACTTCTGGGCTCTACACGCCGTCTGTCCCCACGCCCCTCTGCCCCCAGGAGGGTCAAGGCCCTTTTCCTACACGTGGCCCAGGGACCCATCCAACGTCTTAGAGCAGTTCTAAGAACCATAACCTTCCTGTCTTTTCTGTGGCCCATTTCAGATCAGGTTCTAAAAGGAAGCCAGCAACCATGCTAATTGATGTCCAAAGCTGGACAGAGTCCTCCTGGGAGAGCGCTTCCTTAAAAATGTGTGTTCGCTAGATGAATAAATATTTCTGATATGTAGGCATTCCTGATATAAAATGAAATCTGTTTAAAGATGTAGCTCAAAGTCAAGAGCTATCTGAAGAATTCACCTTTTTATCTAGAACAAAAACACTGTCCTTCCTGTTGTTTGGAGGCACCTGATATAATTTGGCTAATATAATTAAACTACACAAACTTTGCTTGAGTCTTTTAGTTTTTATTTTAGGTCATGGGCATTACATTGGCCAATAATAGTAAAATTTGTATTTTGAAGTTCACTGATTTTACTATTTGACAAATTCTTCCTGAAGTTCCCACCCCAAATTTTATTTCTGTGTTTATTTTTCTCCTCCCATATTACTTAGGAAAAGCCTTTATAGTAAGGAATTATTCTGTTGCTTAAATACATCCCTAATGATCTTTCTTTTTAAGTTATGCTTTTCTCTGTTGGTGTATAAAAATATGCCCCATTCTAATCTGTTTGTAATTAGGTACAGTTGAAGCAGCAGTTCTTTCTTTGTTTTGATGATTATCTGTAACCTTCCAAAGAGTTTAAATAAATGTACCTTAAGATGATGCTGATTACTATAGGACTAATTAAGAATCTTCCTAATTCTCTCTTTCTGTTCCTTCCTATTTTCTTTTTATCTTGGGGAAAACCATAAGACTTTTTTAAAAGCATGCATTGAATCAGTAAGATTAAAATACAAAATATATTAGGTAATTGTTTTGTAATCTTTTCTTTTTTGATATAATCTCTTCATACAAATGAGCATAAAATATTAACCAAATACTTTTCTTCAAGCTAATGATTAAATTGTCATTTATTCTAAGTAATACAAATGTCTTATGCTTTTGTCAACACCTAGCCCAGCGGAAGAACTGTATTTTGGAAGTACAGAATCTGGAGAGAAGAAAACTTTAATAGTGTTGACAAATGTAACTAAAAACATAGTGGCATTTAAGGTAAATATCTGAAATATATAATAAATTATGTGTCAAAATTTGACATGGAAAGGGATTTTACATGTATTTTAATTGAAAGATTGATAATTTTGAACTTGTACAATGTTTTTATTTATTATATTTTTAAGCATGTTATTCTGCCCTCTAGTTCTAACCACGTGGCATAGCTTATCTAAAATTTTTCCTGGGATCTGTATCTCAATCTTTAATGTATAGTAATAGGCTAATGTCCAATTAATCCCAGGGCATAATGTCTGTTAGTAAATAAAAACCCGAGGAAAATCACTCTCCATTATATGAATAATTTAAATCTTAACAGTGAAAAATAAAACTATAAAATCGAAAGTGCATTTTCCCCCAAGTATGGTATATTCTGGAGTATGGTTTATACTGGATACTAACCAGATACTAAGCGTTAAGTGTAACAAGACTGAGTCCACCATCGCCCCATATTGTAGGTATTACTTCCTTAAATTGTCTATTTAATTTAAATTTAACCACTAGGATGTTCTGGATGTCCTTTGATTATCAACTGTTTTTTAATTTCTGAATGCTGTTGAAACACGTGTTCTAATGTGCACTCAGTTTTTTGAATTTGTATTAAATTCAGGTGATTACCGGACAAGATAAATATTTAACAGATGGATTAATTTTTTTATTTAAGAGGAAGGCTAAGGGGCCGGCCCCGTGGCGTAGTGGTTAAGTGCGCGCACTCCCCTGCAGCAGCCCGGGGTTCACATCCCAGGCGCACACCGACACACCACTTGTCAAGCCATGCTGTGGTGGCGTCCCATATAAAGTAGAGGAAGATGGGCACGGATGTTAGCCCAGGGCCAGTCTTCCTCAGCAAAAAAGAGGAGGATTGGCATGGATGTTAGCTCAGGGCTGATCTTCCTCACAAAAAAAAAAAATTAAGAGGAAGGCTAAGTGACAATTGGACTTATGAGTGAATATATTTTTTTTAAATCGGTTGAGGTGCTTTTTTCACTGTTGATGGGGAAAGATACATTCTGTGCTTAACCACCAAGATTGTTTTACAGACTTTGTTTATTATTAATTTTTTAAAGTCATTTTTAAGCTATTTCCCCCTGAAAAGCAAAGGTTATTATGTGATTACTGTGTTTTATAAACAGGTGAGAACAACTGCTCCAGAAAAATACAGAGTCAAGCCAAGCAATAGCAGTTGTGACCCTGGTGCATCAGTTGATATAGTTGTGTCTCCCCACGGGGGTGAGTTGTCACCTGATGGCCACAGTGGGGTGTTGAGGGGTGGGGGAACCTGGGGTTGAGTGATGAGTCAGCAGAGCTGGACTAGAATCTAGAAATTAGCAGTGTCAGCAATCACCTCACCCTACTCAAGGCATCTGTTTCCTCACGTGTAAAATGAGATGGGCAAATGGGTCTCATTAACATTGCCCTTTCCACATTAAAAATTTTTAATTGTTTTTTAACAAGTAAAATTAAATTTCAAAGAAAGTCCTCATTTTTAGGAGAACTTTTTTTTTTAAAGGTAGTTCCGTATTATTCTTTTTCCATAATGTTGTTTTCTAGAATAATGCCTTAAACCACATATCCAACCCTTTTTAAAGGTTCCTGTTTATATAATAATTTACCCTTTTGGAATGCAGGTTTAACAGTCTCTGCCCAGGACCGTTTTCTGATAATGGCTGCAGAAATGGAACAGTCATCTGGCACGGGCCCGGCGGAATTGACTCAGTTCTGGAAAGAAGTTCCCAGAAGTAAAGTGATGGAACATAGGTATGCTTTTTACTCACAGGCTCTCAAATGTGATGGGAAGAATCAGACAGAGAAGTGTGCCTACATGGGCTAGGCAGGCATCCCTTCCTTCTTGCATTTGGAGACATTTAGGCTTCTAGTGTGGTCCTCAAGCTCTGCAAGGTTCTAGGGTGGTGCCCGGTTGAATGAGACTTGGAGTTTCTCAAGGAGGTTGCTAATAACAGAGACTTGCTTGCAGGCCAGTGCAAGAATCTGGTTGTGTCAGATACAAACACAGCTTTCTCTGTCACAGCAATTCCCTTTATAGGAATGCTCACCTTATGTACTAGCATATGTTTGTTGCAGCATCATTTGTACTAATGAAAAATGGAAAAGAAAGAACCTAAATGATCACCAATAAAGCAATAGTGAGATACATTTGAGTATATCCACACTAAGGGGTACTCTGCAGCCATTCAAAAGAGTGAGATAAGTCTGTTTGTTCTGATATGGAAAGACATCTGTGATATATTATTAGGGGAAAAAAACCTACTCAGAAAAATGTGTGTGACGTTATCCTGTTTAAGAGGGGAAAAACCTGTGACATGTATGCCTATGAAAAGGAGAATAGAGAAGAAGGCTGTGTTGCGGTTTTATTTTGGAGTGTGCCCAGTTTTGTCCCCCAGGGGACACTTGTCAATGTTTGGAGACATTTTTGGTTGTCACAACTGGGTGATAGGGTGCGCTATGGGCTTCTAGTGGGTAGAGGCTAGAGATGCTACTAAACATCCCAAAATGCACAGCACAACCCCCCATGACAAAGAATGATCTAGCCCAAAATGTCAGTAGTGCCAAGATTGAGAAATCTCAATTGAAAGTAGTTAAGGATGGCCACTCTGACATTTGAGTAGGACTTGAAGGAAATGAGAGAATAAGCCACATAGATAACTGGAAAAAGAGCTTTCCAGATAGAGGGAAACACAAATGGAAAAAGGAGTGTGCTTGGCCTGTGTGAGGACTAGCAAGGAGGTCAGTGTAGCTTGAATCTGGTAAGGGGGGACGTTGTGGGAGATGAAGTCAAAGAGATAGTAGGGAGCCAAATCATTGCCATGGTGAGGACTTCTGATTTTGAGAGGAGAAACCATTAATTGGTGCTGAGCCAAGCCATGAGGTGATCTGGCTTATTTTTTTAAAGGATTATTGTAGGAACTGTGTGGAAAATAAGACTATGGGCAGACACAGGTGAAAGAGTAATATTGAGTTAACACTTAAATAGAGGTTACTATGTGCCAGCACAGTTCTGAGCGCTTTACTCTTATTTATTCATTTAGTCATTGAAACAACCCTAGGAGGTAGATTTTTTTTTTACTTTTTAGATGAGAAGCTGGGAGACCTAGTTAGTAATGGTCACAGCTGAGTTAAATCTTCAGAAAAGGAGTTGAAAGAATACAGATACGGCTGGAACACAGAATATGAGAGGATCCATGGTAAGAAAAAGTTGGAGAGGCAGACAGGGCCCAGGGGAGAAGCTTGATCACCATCATAAAACCAGTGGGAGAGTGTCAACCTGATCTGATTTGCCTTTGATGAGATTACCATTTACGGGATTCTTTACAGAGGGAAGGAGAACAAGAGTGGGCCTGGGGAGACAAGCTTTATTTCATCCCAGCAAGAGAGTAAAAGTTAGACCTAGCCAAAAGGAACTTTTAGTGGCCAGAGGAAGACAGTTCAGCAGGGAGTCAGAAGGGAAACCAGTAGGAGAGGTGCATTATGGAAGCCCAGGGAAGAACATGTTTCACAAAGAAGGAAATGACCAGACGTACCAGGTGCTGCCATGCTAGTCCAGAAAGATGAGGTGTGAGCAGTGGCCATTGCTGGTGACATACATCATGTAGGTCATCAATCGATGACCACACGGGGAGCACTTTCAGGCAGCAAGAGCCACATATGAGAGAGGAGCCAGATGCCAAAGAAATGGAGGTAGTAAGACTGTTGTGGAGGTTTAGCTTGTTGGGGAGGGACCAGGGGTCATATTTGGAAGGGAGAATGTGGTGTTGATGAAAGGGTTGTTTTGTTTGGGTTTTTTTAATGGGAGATATTTGAGCATTATTTAAAACCATAGCAAGGGCCATCTGAGAAGGAGAGGCCGACCATACAAGATAAATCATTGACAGCGAAATTCCTGAGAAAGCTGGAAGGGACAGGACCTAAAGCCAAGGTAGGGATCAGCCTTAGGAGGGAGGAGGGAACACAGACATAGGTAAGGTTCATGATGGATTTGACTTGTTTTTAGATGGAGTAGCTAGATACTTAAGTTTTCAAGTTATATTACAGGAGGTTCAACTTTTTATCAAGAGTTTATTTTTGTCAAAGGCATGGCTATGGAAACATATTGAAAGGTTCAGGAAGACTGGTATAAAAGATATCAGAGATTAATTTGAAGTTCTTATGAAACAGTCCATCAAATTATGGAGTTTTTTGGTTTGGTTATGTATAAGTTGCTTTGTTCTTTTTTTTATATAAACTGTCAAGAGGGAATCACTTTTCTCACAGAAAGAGGGAGACTTGGTGGTTTGGTACTGAAAGCCCAAGTAAAGCACTGCCTCCCATCTAGAAAGAGTGGTTTCCTTCAAATCATAAGATCGGATGAATTCTATGAATGCCATATAAAAAACTTTCCATAGGTTATTGAGCAGTATCTGTAATTGCTTGTGTTATTTATACATGCATTAATAAGCTGGAAGATGTAGGGAAGGAAAAATAATTTTACCTCTACCCTTCTAGGTTCTTGGCTGAGACCCCCACCCCCCTAGTAATCAAAGACAGATTAACAAGAGAAGAACAAACATAAGTTCAAACATGTATACCTCCTGTATACATGGGAGATACCCAGGAAAACTGAGTAAAACTCCCCAAAATGGCCCAAGCCACCACCTTAAATACCAACTCCAGCTAAAGACAAAAGAAAGATGTTGGTGGGGGGAGCCAGTTATAGGCGGCTATCAGGAAAAGTACAGTAAACAAGGGTAAGGTTATTATACAGTTTTAGGTGTATTCCTCTCTTCTTGAGGTCCCCAAAATATCCTGAGCCTGCCAGGAAGTGACTTTCATTACTCACCTGGTAAGGCTTTCCAGAACCCTGTAAGCAAGAGACCAGGTCAGTTTTTTCCAAGAGGCTTTATGGGCTCCATAAAGTCAACCTTAGTTCCTTAAAGCTGTCTGGTCATATCTGATTTTATGCCTATCATTTTCTCAAGTATGACATTCCAGTGAAAGCCTTGGTAATATATCCATGTTTCCAATTGTGTGCTGTTACAAGGAGAACAGATTCTTATTGAACTTATGCAGATAACTATATTGCCATGAAAATAAGAATACTCACTAAGAGTTTTTGAATTCTGGAGGGATGAGGTAGGGAGAAAAATTATTTCAATTCTGCTTACAAAGGTATAATTTACCAAATTGTGGTAAATCATAGGTAGCTTAAGAGAAAAAGTGTTCCTTAAATTGTGAAAAACAAAACATTAAAGAAGCAGCATTGTTTCAAACAAAAAGTCATAAAGGTTATAATCAGTTCATTCCATCCCATGTTATTCTTATTCTGCTTGAATCCAGTTTTTCCATTAGTTCTGGAAATTCTTAACCAGTTCAGTTTTATGATCTTTAAGTTATCAGAACCCTGTATTCTAGAATACTTGTCAGAGCCCTTTCCATGAATCTCTCTGAAGAGGGAGACACATTTGTAAAAGCATGAGTGAAACAATAACTTCTGTAAATGACAAAAAGACTTAAAAATGGCCATGGTTAAAGATCTGATGAGAGTTCATTATAATGCTATTGACAAGGAAATTTGGTTATTTCTGTGACATACAACAGTTTAAGATAATAACTAGAATTACAAGTGATAACATTATACCAGGACATAGCAGATTTCTAGGAATTTTATATAATTTCTGGAACACTTATATTAATAACATATATCCATACAAATATAATCTAAAGAAGGTTTAGTATTCTTATTTGACAAGGCTTCCCATGTAATTTAATATATCAAATAAGCCTAATTAGTTTAATATCTCTTTTTTTATAAGGAGAGAGAACAAATCTTTTGAGATGTTCCAGGGGCCCTCTGGAAAAGCCCAAAGTTAGTTTGAGATCAAAAAGACTTCATTTAGAATTTGATTTTGGAAAGTTTGTCAAAAATATCAAAAGGTTTTAGACACTTGACTAAATAGGATCATAGATCATTATGAAACAATACTTAATTATTGATGTAACCAGAGTGACAATAAAAGATTTCAAAGGCAAATACAAAAGGTTACATAGTTATGAGCAAAACTTACCTTTTTTAATCTTTAGAAGACTCAGTTTTCTTAAGTAATCAAAGATCTGATGAAAAGATAACATGAAGCACAGGAAATTATTTTGATAAATCGTAAAATCTTTGCCTTCTAGGCAGATTACTTAAAAGGTAAAAAACTTTCATAATCTCTTATCAGGAGCAGTCCAATAGTCCAATAAAACTTTGTCCTTGTAGCAGATGAAAGAAAATTAAGTTTTAGTTTTACATAAGTACACTATTGATATTAAAGCTTATTTTTAAAACCCTTATAACAAATTCATTCAATTTTAGCCAGCTTGACTACACAAGGTAAAATTTTCTCTCTCTTCCCAACTTTCTATATCCATTTAGTTTGTCCTTTATTCTCGTCTTTCCTATTCTGAAATAACCAGCTTTACTTTAGGAAATTACTTTTATTTCCCTTAACAAAAATGCTTCTCCATACCTCATACCTTTTCTTGGTCAAAAACACATCCTACTTTCCTTGCATACAGAGTTGTTTCCCTTATTATTTCTAGTAGCTTTAATGACATATATTAATTAGAATTCTTAACCCTGTGTTGTTAGTGCCATTGAGTCAATTCCGACTCTTAGTTACCCTGTGTACAGCAGAGCAGGACCTTGCCTGGTGTTTTTGCACCATCCTCTTACCTTGTGGCACTATGTCAGACAATGCTGCGCTGCTATTCACAGGGTTTTCATGGCCAATTTTTTCAGAAGTGGGTGGCCAGGTCCTCCTTCCTAGTCTGACTTGGTCTGGATGCTCTGCTAAAACCTATCCACCCTGGGTGACCCTGCTGGTATCTGAAATACCGGTGGGATAGCTTTCAGCATCATAGCCGCATGCAGCTGCCACAGTATGACAACTGACAGACAGGTGGTGTGGTTCCCTGACCAGGAAACAAACCTGGAGCCTGGTGGTGAAAGCACCGAATCTTAAGCACTAGACCTGGCTTCTTAACCCTTAGAAACCTTAATTTCTAGTGAAAAGTAAAAAGTAAGCCATTGTGGTCTGTTACATCAGCATTCTTTAGATTGGCAAATTTATGAATACATTTCATAATTAGAAGTGTATACTTCCTCATAGTACAGTTTTTCAGTGTGGCACAAGATCCAAATAACTTTAGTTCCTCTGTAATAAGAAGCCAAAAGTAGATAAACCTATGTTCAGTAATTAATGTTTCAGTATTTTATCTTATTTGGAAATGATCTAGATATTCAGTGAATTTCCCATCATTTAACTTAGCAAAACTCTAAAGTTTCAAGTTACCAAAGAGATTTGGAAAACGATTTTTAAGTAGACATAGCATAACACATAATCATTGCTGAAAAGTTCACCTAAAAACTCTTATCCCGCTTAAATTTATCTCAATCACTTGCTCCCAAAAATTATGTTTAGACTACTCACAAAAACTTCATGAGACGTTCGACAAAGTCAACCAACATCCCAATCTATTTTTGTTGCTGACAAATTTTGTAAAAGAGATAACATGAACTTATTTGAATAGTAAACCCAGGTAGAATAAAAGTTGCATGTCTGGATTATATCTAATGTTGATAACTCTGAAGACATGCATATGTTAATTAAACCAACAAACTTAACTACCTTTTATTTACCAAAGATTATCCCAGATCACATGAACTTGAAAAACATTTGAGTTAGTTCCTATAGTTCTGAGAGTTTTGGTAATACTTAATTTGATAAGTGCTGATTTTTCTTTAAGCCAGTTGAATAGAGGTTTTACAAATTAATTTTGGCAATGCCGTGCAGAGGTAGAAAAACATCACACATCTGTAACATCTGTAGACACACACAGACATACAGACAGGCACAAACAGGGACCTTATAGCTGTAGTTCTAAAATTTTAGCCATGAATCAGGTACAATAACAAAAAGCTCACTAGTTTATAAAAGACCAGTTGGATCCAAATTGTGTTTCTGCCAATTGGAATAAGTTTACCTGCTCAGATGGCTAAAGCTTTTTTACTAATATTTGTATTTTAATTTTTTTTCATTTGCCCTATTTCCAAATTGCTCCTTGTTTTCCTTCTGATGAGAATCATTTCCTAAAGTTTGCATTTCAAAGAGCTGGCTAGCAGGTTCTAGAGAAGATGGAGTAGAAAATTTATATCTCAAGGGCACAGAGAAAGTATCCAGGTTTTTTTCTAGGAGTTTTAGGATGTATTTGCCTATTATCAGAGGTCTAGAGTAATTACTATTTAAATTTTTCTTTTTCTTAAGGGCAAGGCAGTTCTGTTTCCAATGTCCTGATCTTTTACAATACCTACAAGTATTTTGAGATGAATAGGGGAGGTTTTGGGATTAGTAAGGATAGGTGAACTTTGAGTTGCTTCTAGAGCTGCATTTCTGGTTTTGTAAAGATTTGCAGGACAAAAACAGTTGCTTTTAATTCCTCAGAAGAATTGGATTGCAGCCTGAATGATATCAAGGGACTGATTCACCCATCCACCTACATTCTCTTCAATTTGCTTTATATCAGGGACAAGATTTCCAACTAAGATGGAAATCAAATGATTTCTGTGTTCTGGAGCTTCAGGGTTTAATGCAGTATGCCTTTAAAAAGTCTGTATAAAGTGTTCAACAAAGGCCTTTAAACGCTCACCTTTTTCTGAGTGCACAATTCAACATTGGACCAATTCACCTTAGGGGGAGAAAACCTCTATGAGCTGCTCCATTTCCTGATCTGTTGTAGGAGGGCCTGGGAAAAATTCTGGTCATGTTTCTTCTGTGAGGAGGGTTTTCCCCAGGGGACTGTCTGGCTTGTAGTATAATCATGGGTGGGAAGAACACCCCTTAGCAGCCAGTCAGCATCCCTGTGAGTGGGGCCTGAATGGCCACTGATCTTTTTAACTCTTCTCTAAATTTGGTAGATATATTCTGAAAGTGGAAGTAAAAAGGGCTTTGTAATTTCTGTTGCAAAGGAAGTCCCTAAGGCTGGCCACTATACTCCTTCGTGCCCTCCTCTCAATTTGGTCTTTCCATAGATACCAATAAGACAATTGTTTAGGATGAGAGCTCTTTAAAAATTTTTCAGACATAGAAATTTTTCCAATTCAAAGGATCCATCATCTGGCCATTGACAAGTAGGATCTTATATTAATCTCACTAGCAACTCAAACCAATAAGCCTTTTTATGGCTTAACCATGAATGCAAGAGGTGTCCCAAAAGAGGGTGCAAAATATGCAACCCTCATGAGATCCAGAAAGTTTACTCTGAGAGTTAGCCTAAGAAAGCAAAGACCTTCATTGTCACAGACAGTAAGAATGGTGTAGTGAAAACTGTCTCCAGTTACCCACAGGAATGTGAGATGCCTTCAGTCACAGACCTGCTAATCTGTGACACCGGGCAGGCACTACATTCAGAGACTTTTCTAGCACTAACAAGACAACAAAGGTTGAGACAACAAAGGCCTCTTATGGACTGGGACCGCTTATGACAAATTCCCATGAAAGCTGGTATGGTCAAAGAGAATGCTGCTTGTCACTTTGTGGCTGAGATCCCCAGCCTATTTGGCTGGCCACCAGATGTATGTAGACATACATGCATCCTCCAGTTGGCAGAGACCAGAGAATATTCTCACCGGTCATAAAGCTAAGCTCTCAAGACATAGAACAAGAGGAAATGAAAACCTCATCTGGCCTATAGTTTTCTGCATGACAAATGACACAAAAGAAAACAAGGACCATCTCTGGGAAGAATAAGGATCAATAGAAAACAAGGATACTCATAACAAAACTTTCTACCAAAGTCACTATACCCAAGGAATTAGTTCACATAAATATTTTCTTCTGCTAATCTAGATTTGGAAAGGAAGGGACAAGGTGAAATTTTTACCTTCTTCTCTTGTCCTGGCAGTAGAGTGAGGGTCCAGGAGAACCGACTTTGGTAAGAGTTCTTACCCTTCGCAGGCTTCTGCAAGTTTTGTAGGATTCCATCTGCAGGTTCCTGAGCAAGTATGGTGTCTTAGCAGGTCCCATAGTAGGTTATGAAACTGTAGGGGAGGAAAAATAATTTTTCCCTTTACCCTTCTAGGTTCTTAACTGAGACCCCCACCCCCTGGTCATCAAAGACAGGTTAACAGGAGAAAAACAGGAGTTTAATAACACGTATACCTCCTGTATACATGGGAGATACCTAGGAAAACTGAGTGACTCCCCGAAATGGCCCAAGTCACCACCTTAAATACCATCTCCAGCTAAAGACAAAAGAAAGTGTTGGTGGGGGCAGTTATGGGAGGTGACCAGGCAAAGCACAGTAAACAAGAGTAAGGTTGTTATGCAGATTTAAGTCCTGCCTTCTCCATTGATAAGAGTTTCTAGCAATTTAGAGTCATTCTCTTCCTGGTACAGAAAAGGAGACCCCCTTACAAATGGAGATTTCCCTTATAAATGTAAATATCTCTTACAAAAGGTTAACTTGTACTTGGTTTTCAGAGCTGCTCCTGTGTCAGCTGTTTCTTAAAAATAATCAGCTCAAGATAATCCTTATGCCAAAGAGACATATTTTGGGGTGGTTTATGCTGCTCCCCTTCAAAGATAAATACACAGTGAGCTGCTACCTTAGGTGTATCTGGGGAGAGGAAGAGTACTATCACCTCTGTTACATATACTTCTATGTTTAACTTTTTTCATTTTATATTTTACTTGTATGAAAAAAATTCATTAAAAATTTTAAAAAGTTATGTTTCCTTTGGGTTGTCTTAGGTTAAGATGCCATATTGTTGAGAGCAGTAAACCAACCACTCTTACATTAAAAGACAATGCTTTCAATGTATCAGATAAAACCAGTGAAGATCTATATCTACAAGTAAGTGTTCTTTCTTCCTAACTAAAACAAAGTTGTAAATGCTAATTAATGTTGGAAATCCATTTTTTCCCACTGACTTAAGGAAAACCTTTGGCATAGACACAACAAAAACGCTCTCTTTGTTAAGGGAAGCAAAATCAGAAATGGTAAGTGGTGAGTTTACTTTTGGAGATCGACTAACTTTTTAACAGCTCTGGCCATTTTAATTTGGACCAGGGACCATATAGGAAAGCACATGATGCATTGGGGAGTATCAAAGAATTCGATCTCATAGAAAAGGTACCATGTAGTACATTTAAATTGGAAACAGACAGAGGGGCTCTCTTTCTGAGTAGTGGGTTTTGGTACCTCCAGGAAGTGATTGCTTAGCTCCTTTCTCAACTAGAAAATTAGACCTTTTCAAAATGAGAGTAAGCAGATACACGTCTGTTCACCAAACAAATCTAATTCCTCGTTGCATTTCCAGCTCCCCGCCTTTCAGAGTAGATGGACCCCATCCCATGAATTTTTGGATTTCTAATATTCCTGTTTGTGAGATTTCTAATATTCCTGTTCGTCATTTACATGATTAATATACTGTTTTATTGATACAAATCTTTCATCCTTTTTTCCCTCTTTAGCTCAATCGTTTACTAGAAAGCAATAGGAAGCTTGAAGACCAAGTTCAGCGTTGTATCTGGTTCCAGCAGCTACTGCTTTCCCTAGCAGTGCTCTTGCTTGCTTTTGTCATCTCTTTCTTTTATTTGTTGTACAGTTAAAGAAGTGGTGCTCGGTAGGAAACATGGCTCTTTCGTTCATTAGTTGGAAAAAGTAAGACCCAGAACTTCTCCACCACGCTACTACAAGTGTCACACATCTGTGCTTCCTAAAAGGAAATGTGCGATGGAACAGATACATGTCTTGAAAATAAACTGTTAGAATAAGGAAACACTGAAGAAATTGATTATAAGAGACTATAGCTAGTTAGTAAAGTAAGAAAAGGCATATTTGTTGTGTAAATTAATAGTTTAGATATAATTTATTTTTTTCCTTTTGAATTGAATACTTTTAAAGCTTGTTTTATTGTGTATAAACATTAGCTGAACTGAAAAGTGTAATATGCTTTGTTGCAGCCAAAAAATGTAATTTGCTTTTTTTATAACAGAATTATTATAGCTGAGCCAACTTATTAGCTTTTCTATACTATGTATATAGAATACACATGTTGAAAAAAACAGAGTAATTTCTGTAATAATGACTTTGTATTTTGGAGAATTACTTCCAGATGCTAGTCAATATTCTCTTGGAATGTAAAACTATTTAATGCCAAACCACCTTTAGCCTTTGTTTCTTATCTGTCTTCCTTAACAGCCTGCCTTTTCTTAATCTCGGACTTTTTTATGAACACTCTCGTTTAGGTAGAATTTGGGAAACTAAGTTTGATTGGATTTTCTTTGAATTGTTAGTAATGTCCAGAAGGAAAATGTCTTCAGTCCCTGTTTCTAAGTCTTTTTTACACAGTTTCGCGTTGCTCACTATGGCTGGACACTGACCCTTTTGCTTCATTTATTATAAGGGCCTGATCCTCCATTGCACCATCTTCACTTTCTTTTCTAAGTGAAAGGAGATAAAATTTTTTGAGAAGTTAATTTTTGAGATGCATAGCAGTATATTTCGTTTACATTTCGATTCCTTGTTAAAATCAGCTGTGAGAAGTAAATTTGACAAAAGACCAGAGTGTCTATAGGGTGAAAAAAAGAAAAATCTAAACTCAAGTGTCAGTTCTCCGTTTAAGAGTGAAAAATATAACTCGCGATCGACTGTGAAACCTTCAGACCAGGGCTAAGTGACTTGCTTGATACTCTCTGCCTTTGTCACAGTAACATCGAGGCTGATTCCTAAATTCCTAAAAAGAAACACCTTGCAGAAGCAGACGCTAATGAAATTAGTTTGTTTTCCTCATTAATATGACCAGTTTCAGTCCATGTTGGTTCACATGTAAATCTACTTTATATGAAAGAAAAAATAGTCTGCCTGTAAAATAAATTTTGAGTTTTGATTGAGCCATGTTTGGAGATTTTTTTTATTCTGAGGTTCATTGTTGGTGGCTTTCATCTTGAGAAGTTGATGATTCCAAATTGAGTCGTGAAGAATGATATAATAGAGTCCCTTCAGAACTGGCCTAGAAAATAAAACCTTAAAAGGACACTGGTCTGATATGTTGTCTTAATTTGGGTTTTTCTGTTTCAGTTTGCCAACTCCAGCCGTGAAAGTGACTGACTGCAGTCCACCCTAAGTACTGTCCATAGTACCTCCCTGTGTGTGTGCACAGTGATTTCCCATTCTGTGTTAGAGTCCTGGCTTTAATATAATCTAATCCCAAAGCAGATGTGTATGTTTTTTGTTCCTTGGCAAATAAACAAGGAAATAGTCAAAATTGGAAATGTATTGTCCTAACGGTGTCCCTTTAATGTTTCAGATGACAAGTACATTGACTCACTAAAATGTTCTTCCCCAATGTCTGGCCAGTTGAATTTACTAACATTTTTTGTTAACATTTATTTGTCTATTAAATGTGACAAATTACTGAAAATTAACTATAAAATCAAAGGCATCTAAACTTTTGTAGTTGTCTTGATTAATCACATGTATTTACATTTGATTTTACTGTCTTCATTTGATTCTATTTAATCACATTTGTATGGTTATTATTTTTGGTACTCTATAATAATTTTATTTTTAATCATATCATTACCTGTTCATGACCAAATTACCAGGGACCAACATTTAGATTTAGATTGTTTTCACTTGGGAATGGAAATTAATAGATTTTCCATGAAAATATTAATGAAATATCATTAGCTTGATCTGCAGGTAGCCTAAAAATGCAATTACTGGTAAACCTAGCCTCAAATTTCATAGTAATACCGTAACTGTTTTTATATCTTGACACTAATTTTGACTGAATTTAATAGCACTTTATTGTACAATTGCAAAAATATATTCCTAGAATTGTTGCCAGTGTAATTTCTCTAATGTTCTGGTGCTTTTCATATATTTTCAGTATTTTATTACTATATTGGTATTTTCTTTGTATAAATTGATCAAAAGAACATGTTTTCTATTTTAATGTTTTAGAAAAATAATTACGTTTATGAAATAAATATCATCAGGAAAAACCTCTGGTCTCTAATTGATAAAGCATCTTAAGATCAATGTTCAGGGTCACTCTGACCTTTTAAAGATCGCATTAATTTCTTTTGGACCTGCTTTGCATTTTTATAAGGACAGTGCCGAAAGCTTCCAAAGGTGCAATTGTGTTATCAGGTGAACCTGTCCTTAGTGTGTCCCATTTCTCCTCGACCCCGGTCAGGGTCTGGCTGCTCTTCAGTGGAGCTCTCTGTTTTCCGCAGACTTAGTGTTGGACTCACTGTCGCGACTGGGGGTCTCCATCTTGGAACCTATCGCTACAGCTGCCACATGTCCACCCCAATCCTAATACCCACACACCTTCCTGCCTGACAAAAGCCAGCAGCAAGCAGGCTGATGAGAAGTAGTACCTGGCTGCCAGGTGCATGGAAGGCCGTTCATGCTAGGAGGCAGGGGAGCACAGGGTGTGGGTGTGGTTGGGGAGGGGCCCTGGGGATTGTTGATGTGGTCTCCTTGTCACTGGAAGGCACAACTCCCAAATGGCAGCTACCACTCCATAATAATAGAACGAATAGGACAAGTCCATCCTCTAAACTGAAAAAGAGGTGGAGATACAAAATCATCAGAGAAATTCAAAACAGAACTACAAAGACAAAAGGGTAACCTACTGAGAAGCACCACAGCTACCCAGGACTGAGTGTATGGTCTCCTTTCCTAAAAGACAATTTTCTAGGAAACAGAAGAGCTCCTGTGGGGCAATCTCCAGCCAGGAAAGGATTGGTTACTTTACATCGATCTTCAGCTCTAGCTCCCCTGAATTTTCACCAGCAACTCGAAGTTTCCTGACATCAGAGCAACACAGGCCCCTAGAAGCATAGGGCTCCCCTTCTCTCCCTGGCCCAAGAGGACAGAATGGAAATCCTCCCATTTGAGGAGGCAGTGGTGGTTAGGAGTGACGGCTGTGAGGGCTGTGAAGTAACCCTGCCTGGGTTCAAGTGCCCTCTCTGCCACTTGCTACCTGTGTGACTTGGGAATCTTAATTGACCTCTTTCAGCCTCAGTTTCCTTGTTCCTAAGTGAGTCTGATAATCATAGTACTACTTCACAGGGTTAGTGTGCGAGTGAGAGGAAATGATGCATTTCAAGCAGCCCTGGAGAGGCTGGCCTTGTTTTGCTGATGTTGCCTCCACCACCTGCCATTCCAGCTTCCTAGAACTTTTCACGCTTGGGTTGATCTTCCTGAATATCCCACCTCATTCAAAGCCAAATGTCAGTTCTCCAAACTTTTCCCTGCTTTGTACTCCTACCCTTGCTTTCTTGGCACCTCACTCTGAATTCTGGTGCCCAGGTCAATGGACGCACCTAGAAGGCCAGTGATGCTCTGCTGCCTTGAGTCTTGTGAAGGAGTATCCCTGCCAGTGTGAAGAAGACTTGGCTGGATATTTCCTTCCACCACTGCCTGGACACTCCTTCAGAACACAGTATACACACACATACACACACACACACAATCTTGCAATATTCCACCCATAAAAGTTTCCCCTTAAATTTGTAACAATTCAATAAAATATTACATAGGATCTTTCACATCTTCATAATAATTTTGTCCTTACATTTCATAAAACTACCTCCCTGTAATGTCCAAAGATTCCCTTCCCTTCACTACCCCACTCATGTCCCCTGCCATGCAAAGTAAGACTAATCACTTGTATGTGTTAAAGTATTTGAGACAATTGGTTCAACTGGCAAGAATATAGAGGATCATCTCCCTGACCCACAGGGGCAAGATACGTGACCGTTTTCACGTCCTTCTAGAGGGAGAATTTGAATGGTGAGTGGTCGTTGAAATTCTACCGGTTTCTTCATACTCCTTTGACCTGAACAGTCTGGGAATACATCATAAGATCTTGTGTTTTACAGATGAGAACACCGAGGGCCCGAAAAGTAATTCTCTTTCCCAAGGTCACGTGGCTAGTTGGTTTCAGAGCCAAGAGTTGAACTAGTCTCCCAAGTCCAATGCTTGTCTGTCACAACCACCCAGAACTGCCATGTGTGAGTAATAGGTTAAAATGTTGAAAAGACAGGTCTAAGAGCTTTACCTTCACTAAACAGCAGAGAGGAAAAGAAGATAGAATACTTAAGGAGAAGCAGAGGTGGCAAAACACAATAGCACTCAAGACGGTTGGCTGGAAAAGTAAGTTTCATGATATTCTAACCTACAGACAGACCTTACTTTGAAAAAGTTTTGAAACATATGGGTTAATGTAGTGTTTACTTTGATGGAGGGTTTTTGTGTGCAGCATCACCCTTCTGAGAGGTTTATCCATCACTCTGTAGAAGGGCATCTAGTAAAGTCTGTTGCTACTAGTTGTCTCAGCCATAGTCTAGTGACCTCAAGGAGTCATATGTTTAATAAAATCAGAGTATGTAAGGTTTCTATTGTCATGTAACAAATTACTGCAAACTTAGTGTCTTAACACAAATTATCTCAGTTTGTGTGGGTTGAACCCAGCACAGCATGGCTGGATCCTCTGCTCAAGGCCCCACAAGACTAAAATCAAGCTGTCAGCCAACTGCATGCTCCCTGGAGGCTCAACTGGATAAAGATCCACTTCCAAGTGCCTTCAGGTTGTTGGCAGAATTCCTTTCCATGTGGCGGTAGGACTGAGGTCCTCAATTTCTTGCTGGCTATTAGCTGTCAGCTCCTAGACACCACTCCTGGGTCTTTGCTATGTGGTCCCCTCCATAGGCAGTTCACAACATAGCTGTTCCCACTTCAAATCTCTTCTTTCAGGAAGGGCCCACTTCTGTTTCAGGGCTCACCTGATTAGGTCAGGCCCACCCAGAACAATCTCCCTTCTGATGAACTCAAAGGTAACTGATGTAGGAACCTTAATTACATCTGCAAAATCCCTTCTGTTGTATAAGCTAACCTAAATCATATGAGTGTTATCCCATCACATTCACTAGACCCAGCCCCACTCAAAGGGAGAGTGTTATGTGGGGTGTGTGTTAGGTGGGACCTGCAAGCTCATCCAATCTGGTCCCCCCATTTTACAGAGCAGGAAACAGAGGGTCAGAAAGCTGAACCCAATCTTACCCAGTCTAATTGACTGCTTTGAATTCACAGATGTCTTGCACATAAAAGAAAATAGGCTAGAACTTCTGTGTTAGGCACTGAACGACTGGTGTGGGAACAGTATGTCTCTATTCCATTTGACTTTCTCCAGTCTCATAGCTTCAGTGCACTCAAACATTCAAACGTTTATAAATACGCTATTAAGGAAAAGTATGTCACCAGTATTTTAAACATCTATTCAATCATAAAAAACATTCTGGAAACATTCTCACCATGAGTTAATGTGCTTGGACAAAGGGGACTTCCAGTAATTGTGTGCTTTTGTAAACAAAGCTCTAGTGAAAAACCATTAGTTTATTTAACTTTCCCTTTTCTTTCAGAATAATCCATTTACTTCAGTTAAATTAGTTTTCTTGAACATAAATATGTTCTATGAAGGTAGTTATGTGAAAAGGTTAAAACTGTAAGAAAGGAAAAAACTCCTTTTTTTAAAAAAAATTTTTGGTTTATTACAGTAACATTG